GTCAGAAGTCAGTCTGTTTATTAACACTGGCTTAACACTGCATGAAGTTTAAAATTCCACACACAAGGTCTGTGTTTAAATGTTAAATAATGCGCTCTTAATGCAGCCTGGCAGGAAACCTCCACGAAGCTTAAAATATTCAATTTTCGCTTAAAGTGTTTTTTGATTTGTGTTGATTTAACTCCATGGACATTTTTAGAAGATGTAGTCTGTTTGTTAGTGCTGAAGGGTGAACCTAATATTTAAAATAGTAGTAAAAAAAAAAAAAAAGTCAAACTACAGCATCCAAAATAATCATAAGACTGAAGCAGCTCCTTTCGAAATTTCAAAACCTAAATATTGCAGTTTTTGTGCTCCTCCTTATTCTATGCTCGCAACCTCCTGACACGCAGGCCTGGAAGCTGCGTTGCCCGGGGACCAAGGCCAGCTCTGGAGGAGGGGAAACAGGATGGTGAAGATGGCAGTGTGGGGGCTGTCCGCGACACTCGGGGCAGCCGTGTTCGCTGTGGCTCAGACCGCCATGGACTGGGGACCTGAGGCATTACTTCAACTGTTCTGACGTGGCGGTGGTGGGAATACAGACTATTCAGCAAGAACACTGACACATGCAGTATAGGTGCACATTTTTAAAAACTTGAAGCTTATCTTGAGATGGTGAAGAAAATGAGGAGGAACAATATTGGTGCCAAACAGGTTGTTGCCACTAAACCACGTTGAACAAGCATGCTGCTTGTTTTCTATAATTCAGCCTCAGGATTCTTGTACACGTGTGTGTGTGTGTGTGTGAGCAGGACAACTGAAGTAGAAAGCCAAACCGGTGACAAAGAGATGAAGGTCACAAAGGGGTGCAACGCAAAAGGGTTAGTTGTCATTTTGTGGCTCTTACAGTCTGGGTGACTTGCTCTTATATAGGAGGGGATTATGCATGTCCCCCTGTCAGCGGCCCTTTACATAAGGATCCGTCCGTGCACGTGAAACACTAACACATTTTTGCTGTTTCAGGCTAGCTGCTATCTATTTCTTGTCAGCTGATTATTTTGCTGATACTTGTTTTTAGTTCGTCCTGCCCGGTTTGTGTATTTCTGTTAAAGTTGCTTTTTAGATCAGCAGCAATATCTGAGAGCCAAAAGTGCCCAAAGCCAGCACAGTGACACATGAGTACAAATTATTAAAGAGCAGCGTTTTCTGCTAAAAGCTTCTAGTTACTAGCAAAGAAGGGAAGTGAAAGAGAAAGATGGAGCGATGGAGGTGGAGATTTTGCTTGTGAGCCTTGTATTAATTGCTTTACTCCAGGTGGCAGCCAGTTAAATTCACAGTAGAGCGTGACACACCAAATGAGCTTTTGCGCTATCAAAATATGAACGTTGCACTCAGTAACAAGGGTCGCTTTATGCAAGCAGTAATACTTTTTGGAAAATCATTTAGCAGGAGGTATTGAAACAGTTTTTTATGTTTTCAGTTGCAGCTTTGCTGCTGCTTGCTGCCTACCGCGCTGAGTGAATATGGGGAAGAAACCAGTACTTTTACATTCCTAAAATATTTAGCAGGTTTGCGCTGACATCCACCCCGAACAGCCATCACTAGAGCAAAAGTACCTCATCTTCATCTTTTGCTTTCTGCAGCTTAAAAATGACTGTTTAGCTTTAATCAGTGGACAATTTGAACAATTTCTGTAACTCAAAGATTTTTATTTAAATATATTTGTTTGTGTTAGTGGAAGTCGTTGCATCTCCCCGAATAACATCACACATACTTAGATGCTGTTAATGCCAAAGCTAATCACAGAGTTTCATAACCTGAAAAGCGAATATTAATAATAGAGGCCGTTTCCACCTGAGGTACACGCGTGGGTGTGTGAGGGGTTTCCTTCCAAACAGCGATGCATGCTCTCTGTTAGACTTAAATCATGAATAATTACTCAGCTTTTACAAGCATGTACCGAAGCTTCGGTTAACTCTGCTTCGCTGAAGTCACAACACTCCCCAACCACCCAGCCTATCCCCGCTGCTTCCTCTGTCATCAGATATGAATGTATCACATGTTTGCACAGCTCGCCGTGCAGTCTGCCCTGTTGATTTCTTCTGCGTGTGAAGTCAGCCGTGCACAATCAGTTGTGTTTACAGTTTCACTGTAGTAAATTAGAGCTTCTGGGCCCCAAGCATTCATCACGGTGAAAATAAGTTAATCATTATATATAAGAATAAATCAGAGAAAACTGTCAACTGGGTCTGCAAGTCAGTCGGTAATCCTGTGCTGGTTGTTCAAATAGCCTTAGCTGTACGTTTGATTGTCCAGTATAAATGCATTAAATGTGCACTTGTGCAAAAAGCGAGAAATGGAAAATGTTAGCTTTAGTTGCAGGCCAGTTTTGTTTATTTTAAGAATGTTTGGGTTGTCTGTGTTTTTATCTATTAATGTTTTGTTTCTCTCTGTGCCTCATTAACAGTCAAATTGTTTATTTTACGAGCAACAATCTGATTGGCTATTTATTTAGATATGATATTAAATAATGACATGGTTGTATGAATATGTGTTTAATATAACCAAATAAGAGGAATGGCTTAAATGGTTAATAAGGGTTTGCGGTTTACAGCAGTTTGGATTTATATCTGTGCAGGTCATAGTGACTTAGATTTAAAAGCTGCTTTGTGTCAGTTATCATGAGTCAGTTTAGAAGTGAAAGGAATGAACTGACATTTTGCTTCCTCGCTGAGAGTTTGATGAAGATACTTCTTTGGACAACTGTAGGCAGCTTAGCATGAAGACTGGAAACGAGATCGATTTCTGGCTCCATCTGAAATCTGCCCACCTGCACCTCTGGAACTCACACAAAACATGTTGTTTGCTTAATTCGTTTCTACAAGTTGTAATTCATTGAAGGTTAGAAGTGTTCACCGAGGCACCATAGGAAGTCACCGTGCTTGGACAGAAATGAGAGTGCTCTCTGTGTTCACATAGAGAAATACACCATATGGACTTAAGTAGACTGCCAGCTATACTTTACACCCACAGGAGCTGCTCATCCTTAAAAACCCATGAGGTGAAGCTCCCGGTGCATTTTTCTGCCGAGGTTAACCCTGTAAAGCCTGAACCATGCCAGGAAATCGAGAAATATTGCAGGCCTCCATCTAATTCAGTGAGCTTTTGTTGAGCAGTGCATTTTTCACAAATGTTTGCAAAGGCAGTCTGCATGGCTAGGTGCTCGCTGTTATACCCAATGCGGCTGAAAACATCTTGAATTAAAAAATTTAGATGTGTGGTTCAATACTTTAGTCCATATAGTGTAACTTTATACTTTTCAGAGTAATATATAGAAAAGGAACATTTACTGTTGACCTAAATGCAGTAATGTCTGTTACCACTGGCTGTACTTTTAAAGTGGTTGTGTGTAGCTGTGTGTCTATGATGCTTTGACACATGATTTATATAAATCAGTTGTATTCAGAAAATATTTTTTGGTTTTTGCTTATTCATAAAGTGCTGCTTGGTTTTAATATGCTGAGAAAAACACTTTGACGATTGTGTTTGACGTTACTGTGTGGTTCTATTTTGTGCCATGTAAACACACATACACACATGAACACACAAGGTGAGTGGTAGTGCTGCCAGATCCTAATGAGGATTTAATTCTTGCCCCTGGCTTTTGGCGTGCTAAGATACTTTCTCCTTGTCTTTTTTTTTTTTTTTTTTCCTTGCAATCATGTTAAACTTCAAAAACACCCACACCAACACCTGCCCAGTCTCAGTTTGGCACATGCCTTAAAAAATGATTGAAGCCTGTTTCTGGGTCTGAGTGAGATCAGTCAAAAGAAAGACGAAGGAGGTTTCAGGCTCATTTAAATTCATAAATAAACACCATTAAATACTTTCATTTCAAGAGAAGCAAACAGAAAATAGAACCCTCGCAGTAAATTAATTTCATGTAGTGCATACACTTACTTTATTGATCAGCTTTCTTGAACAGTTCACAATTTTATTTATTTATTTATTTGCCTTTTATTTTATTGCTTTTCAGTTGCAGTGTCTTGTTTTTCTTGCATTTCCCTTGAGATCACAACTGAGACCTGCATGCATTTTGAAGCTGTTTTTCACTCCACCTAGTAGTAGCTAAACAAAATCCCTCTGAAAGTTCATTCCAAGAACCAATCTGGCCAGATATGATTAGTTTCTATGTTGATTATGAAAACAAGTGAAAATCAATGCAGGACAAACACCTCGGCAACAGAAAAATAACAGAAAAATCAAGAAACTCTTTTTCATGCCAGATTATGAATTAAGTGTCTTGTTATAAAAAAAAAACAAAACTTTAAGCTTCCAGTGAATTTATGACTGTTCGCTTCTCTCTCTGAGGTCTGCAAATGTCCTGAAAAAGATGCTTTAGCTGTATGTTAACACATAGAGTTCATGAGCATTTTAATGCACATTTCTGATGATTGTTACAAACTATCTTTGAACAATTCGTTTACTTTGTACTGATCTGTGGTTCACATATAAATAGAGCAGAGCAGTGAATAAATGACAAAGATAAAATATTTAGAGCACCAAAGTGAAAGTTTATTCGTGCTCTGGAAGAAAGTGACAAAAAACTTCTATCAGGCGTTTGTCAGAGTTTACAGAGAACGAGGAGCACTTTGTTGCTATTGTTACTGTCTTTCTGAAAAGCTCTTGGTCATTGCATAAGATTGTGACATTGCTATGAACAAAATAAAGAAGTTCAATTACTTTCTGAATTTCTGTGAACATATTGTTGGAGTAGTGTTACTTGCACATTTGCAGGGAGGGGAACTGTATCTCAGATTTTTGTACTAGTATTTTTAATTGATGTGCTAAGTGTACTCAGTTTTGTCAATTTCTCTGCAAATCTGTAATTGCATGATTTGTTTTTAAACACACATTATTCACTGGTTACACCACTGGTTTGTGGTGTTGCCATTGTGTTTTTAAAGAACCAGACGTTGTGGTATTTTGACCAGAGGGTGGAGTTGGCGGCATTGGATTCCTGGATTCCTCCCACAGTCCAAAGACATGCACATTAGGTTAACTGCTGATTCTAAATTGGCCGTAGGTCAATGAGAGTGTTGATGATTGTCTATATCCATGTTAGCTCTGCAATAGATGGCAACTTGTCCAGGGTGTACCAACCTTCTCGCGCTGTGACAGCTAGGAAAGGCTTTAAGCCAGCAGCATCCCTGAATTGTATGATTCCTCTCCTTTTTAGGCCTCACTACAGCAGATCATTTCCAATCTTGTTCATCCTGGTCAATGAAAAAGCAGTGAAAACCTTGAATTGGATAAGTGAAATAAATATGTGGGTTGAAGGGTGGAGTGCTAAGATATCAGCTAGTGACAGCAAGCTTAATTTGAAAGCTACATCTATAGCTTGTGTCATTGCAGCACACAAATATACAACCTGCTAATTGCTGGCTAGTAACAGACTAATACTAGAATTTAATTTCCCAAAACTGGAGCAGAGTTTTCACAGCTCACTATACCATATCTCAGATAGGTGCATTAGAAATTCACCATAAGGCACAAACAGCACAAAAATGATACAGATGTCCAGTTCTGTGGCTCAAATTAGTGGAGGTGAGGTCTAGCAGACAGCTCCTGGCTCTCTGCACAGCTGCCTGTGTTGCCACAGCTGTCAGTCAAAGCAGCCAGTTGTATCTGTATTATAATCATAGAAAATATGATGACTGGCTGAAATGTATGTTGACAACTGGACATTCCTTGGAGCAAAAATAACTTGTATTCCCTTGTCACAGCCTGCCAAATGTGATGATTGTGGCTGCTTTTAATCCTGGTTTTCCATGATAGGAAGAATGAAAACAGATTTCAGCCTTAATGCATGGCAATAACTTCTAAGAAATCAGCTGCTTAATTTTCTTGTCTTGCTTTTATTCTGCTTTTCTCTGTTTGCACTGTGCAGCTGTTGTCTGTTCGTTCCAACTGTTAAACTGCCCTCTTTGGAGAAATGAGGTCAGAAATGAGTCTGTGTGTAAAAGACAACGCTGTGCATCTGTCTGTCTGACCCCCCTAGGGAAACAGCCAGGGATTAAGAGTGGGGGCCAAAATCAGAAACATGAGGTGAGGCAGAAAGGCGAGGGTTAAAAGGGAACAAGGGATTAGATGATGGTGGAGAGAGCGCGATTTAAAACTGCAGAAAAAGACATCTGGCGGACGTGTTTGAGGTAACAGAGAGAGGTAGCGGAGGTCCATGTAAATATGTATTTAAAGGCAGTCCCTTGAAGATTTCTAATGAGGTGAAAGGAGGTGAGTGCAGATCTGATTAGTGCTGAGAGCAGATGTGGAGAGGGATGGTTTGAGTTTATTCACGAAGCAATCTGGAGGTGTTACAGCCCTAATTTCAACACTAAATGATGACCAAGACCCCTAAGCCCACACAGACAGAAATTCGTCCATGAAGCGCCGTGTCAGCTGATAGCCAGCCACCCTCAGGACCACTGAAACTTTTCACATCTGATCTTATTGGTAAATAAAGACCAAGCAACAGTATGTGTGCGTGTGTTTCTGTTTGAGAACTGTGAGGTTAGTAAGGGCAGCGTCAGTGCAAGCAAAATAAAATGCTAGGTATCTGCGTGTGCATGTGTGCTAAACATTGTGCACATTTGGGACAACAGCTGCTCCAGGGGTTTGTCAGATTTTTTTTTTCCTTTTTCCTCTCCCTGGTGACACACACACACACACACACACACACTTGCACTCACATGGCTTTAGCGCCGGCGATAACAGGAGCAGCAGCACCTCCACTTTCACTGAGCCATGACAAAACGAGTTTTATTTTAATTCATTCAGTGGATTTAGTTTTGCAAACAAACAAACATTAAAAAAAAAAAGCTGTGTTGCCTGTTTTACCAACACTTTAATCACGTTGCTGTGGTTTGTAACCCTGGAACCGTGCCAAATCTTTAATTGAGTGTCTATTTTTTTTTAAGTTAAAAAAAGGCATAAAAATCAGTGAGCATTATCTTGAGAAAAGTGGCATTTGTGATGATCACAGTATTTAAAGATAAGCCCAGATTAAATGAAATGTATCACAGTAAAGTCTCTTTACCCAGAGGGAACTTGAATAGGGAGGTTAATTTGTGACAGATTGAAGACATTAAATTTTTAGTCAGTCATAATATTCTAATTAGTGGTTTGCAGGTAGCATTGACGCCAAAATTCTGACTTTTTTGAAAGTCAAAAGCTCGATGGGCTCTCACAAAGGGTGACTCTCTCTGCTAAGGCTGGTAGACAGTTGCGGCGAGCAGCTACTACAAAGTCTGATTGCTTGTGGGTAAAAACTTTTGTCATTTTAAAAGTCCTTGCTTTAATGGACCTGAACCTTTTGCCTGATGAAAGTAGTTGGAACAGGTGATGGGCAGGGTGAGAAGAGTCAGCAGAAGGTGAAGATGGTTGTAATGTCTGGCAGCTCTGTCCCAATGGTCTTTCCAGCAGTTTTAATGATCCTCTGGATGGTTTCCTGTTCTGCCTTTGTGCAGCTGGAGGGCCGGGAAGCCACACAGTATGTCAGCACACTCTCCATTGCAGAAATTGACCAACAGTCTTTTCTCTCATTGGTTTCCTGAGGTAAAACAGATATTGTTGGGTTTTTCCAATGTCCAAGGCTATGTTAGAGTTTGAGGACAGCCCGAAGAACTTGAAACAGGTGACATGCTCTACATCCTTGCTGCTAATGTAGGCGACCTGACCTCTGGAAATCTACAATTCTTTCTTTTGTTCTGCTGATGTACAGACAGAGGTTGTGGTCAGAGTGCCAGACTACCAATGTATCCACTTCTTTCCCATAAGCCGACTCGTCTCTTGTTGGAGATGAGGTCAAGCACTGTGGTGTCATCCACAAACTTGAAGATGTGGTTTGTCTGGGAAGATGTCTGTGAAGGTTCTCAGTCATCCAGGTCATCGTAGTCAAAGGAGCTTGCAAAGAAAAGTGTCTGGACTTCTTTAAGTTGCTTGAAGACGTTTC